TCCTCATATCTCATCTCAATCTCCCCTCTTTCAGTGTAAAACCATTCCCCCTCATCCCATGGCTCCCCTCCCTCATCCAGAGTCCCCCCCAGCTCTCCCGGAGCCCCTTTAGGCACTGGAAGGGGCTCTGAGCTCTCCCCTTTTTGGCCTTCTCTTCTCCAGGCTGAACCCCCCAACTCTCTCAGCCACCTTCAACTCGCCACTGCCGAGCAGAAACAACGCGCCCCAACCAGACCGCTCCCAGTCCCACCGCTATCGAGTTTTGGGGCACAGGCGAAGGGTTTTGGTGACGGCAGGGCTCGCGAAGGGGCGACGGACACCCCGGCTCCTCCCCGCCTCCCGCCCGGCTCACCTTGGCCGAAGGAGGCGATGCTCTTCTTCAGCGCCTCGAGGTCGCAGGTGAAGCGCGCCACCCGGCCCAGGTCCTCGTCGTACTTCCGTTCGCTCACAAAGTGCTTCGCAGAAAAGGCAAAACGCGCACGTTAATTCAGTCTGCGCACAGGGACAGCAAACGGAGGCGACAGCCTCCCGCTTCCGCCCCGCAACGGGTATCCCAGTTGGGCGCCGCTTGAAGGAGACAAGTCTGGGTGAGAAGGTGGACGGCTACGACTTACGGAAACAGAAAACCACATATTTTTTTTTTTTTAATTCTTTTTTTTTCTCCAGTGTGATTTCCACCCAGGCGCAAAGAGCCTTCCCCAGGCCACAGCAGCCAAGCGGCAGTTTAACGCAGCCCCGCGGCAGCCCCCCGCCTGGCCGGCGTCCGCGAAACCAGCCGGGATCTGCGGCAAAGCTCACAGGTTTCTGAGCTGCACTAATCCCGCGGCGGTTGGAGCTGGAGGGGGGGAGCAGTTATAGTTTTCAAAAACCGGAGTTTAATTGATGCAACTTCGCTCTGACCTCTCGTGGCAGGAGCCGGGGCGCTGGAGAGCAGAAGGGTTTTATGGAATAGGAAAGTCACTCGGGCGCAGCAGGCGGGCGCTCCCCGCTTCAGAGGAAAAGGCAGAGGTCGGCCCGCGCCAGCGGGAGGTTTTCACGATCGCTCTGAGCTCAAAGCCGCGGCTCCGCCGCCTTCCCTGTGCTCTGCCGGTTCGCAAGGGCGGGAATTTGGGGGGCCACACACACCGGGGTTAACGTCTGGCCGAGCGGTTGTGGGCTCAAGTCAGTATTTTACAAAGTATTTTACGTTAAGGTGTCCCGAATCCCACCGCGTGGCTGCGGACAGCAGCCTGCACAGCGCCGGTGGTGAATTCAGGAGTGACGGATGCAAGAGAAGAGCCTCACGCGACACAAAATTGCATTCAGGAGTGTCGGAAATCCGGAAGGTGACAAAAAAAGCGTCCCCCCTTTGAGACCGGTTTGGATTCGCAGCCTTGCTTAGCGCTAGGAGCTGAAGTAGCTGAAGCGTCGGGCCACGAGAGCCGACCGGGAGTAAACTGTGATAAAACTAACGCTGCAAACACAGAACTCGCCGAATCCAGGAGATACGAGGGGAACGATGAGGATAAAGATCAAGGAAACAATTGCGAGAGAATGAGGTAACTCCAGAAGGCGGCCCAGAAAACCAGTAAGAAATCAGGAGCCCACCGACCAGAATTGAGGGTTTGGATTTGGGGATGGGGCACCGCACGGGTACAATGTGGGGGGTGTGATCTGGGGTAGGGGTCCCTCCTCGGAGGCACCGGCTCGAGCTGCTCTGTGCGTCGGGGAAATAAACCCCTTCATTTACTCGGCGGATGGGCGACTCGTCTTCTTCGAGCAGGAACCGAGGGCCGGGCACTGCTGAGGTGCACAATTCCTGCCCCGGGCTAGACGACTGCGTAATTCCCACAACGCCGCTTTTGGGTGGAATTAGGTTAGGACCAGGCTGGATTAGACAGAAGCGGAGCAAAGAGCTCACCTTTATGTCGGCTCTGAGCTCGACCAGCTGCTCCTCCGACATTCGCACCGCCACATCAGTCATCTTCTTCAGGGCTTCTGCCTTCTTCTGGCGGCCGACCAGAATTTCCACTGCAAAAACAGACCGCGGCTTAGGCAGCCTCCGCACCGACGCGGCGTTAAAACAACCCCGGCCCCGGCGCGCAGCACCTTATTGGTAAACGACAGGTTCCCCCGCGTCCCGGCGCACAGCGCGGTGCCAGCTGCACAGCGGCCCCCGCCGCCCCCTCCTGCGGCCGTTTACGTCTCCAGACACGACCCGAACCTGAGCTGAGTCCACGAGGGGCACCGCACGCAGCGGTAGAAGCTTTGCCGCTCTCCCCAGGCGAACCGCTTCCTCGCCACCCCCTGAACCCCGCGCTTCTTATCGAATCACAGAATGCTATGGGTCGGAAGGGACCTTGAAGACCACCTCGTTCCCCCCCTGCCCTGGGCAGGGACACCTCCCCCCAGCCCAGGTTGCTCCAAGCCCCGTCCAACCTGGCCTTGAACACCTCCAGGGATGGGGCAGCCGTTCCCCCCCCTCATCCCACGGCTCCCCTCCCTGATCCAGAGTCCCCCCCCAGCTCTCCCGGAGCCCCTTTAGGCACTGGAAGGGGCTCTGAGCTCTCCCCTTTTTCGCCTTCTCTTCTCCAGGCTGAACCCCCCCAACTCTCTCAGCCCTCGCAGTATCTTTGTAACCCTCCTCTGGCCCTGCTCTAACAGCTCCACATCTTTCCCTTCCAAGAAAGTTTGGACCAGATGATCCCCGCAGCCCCTTCCAACCTGCCATTCTACGGTTCTGTGACGACCGAAACAGCGGGGCTCGGTGCTGCGGGTGTGGGTGTCCCTGTGGATCAATTCCCACGCCCTGCCCAGGAACGCTGAGATTTTTTTGGGAAGGGAAAAGCGCAGTTTATGCCCCCATCCTCTAACGAGGGCACAGAGCAGCCTCCTCAAAGAGGACGATTGGCATCAACTGTGTCAGGCAGCAAAGAGAACCCAGTCACGACATATACGGCTAACCACAAGCCACAGGGCAAGTTCTGTCTGGGTACAGAGCCACACATTTAGGAAGAATGCGGACGGGAGGTAAATCCCAGGAATCTGCTTTAGGAGGCCGTGTCTGAAGAGCGCGGCAACACCTACGGCTCTTCAGGTGGGCACTCGGTAAAAAGACAGAGTCTTACTCGCTTCTGCTTTCACTTTGTCCATTTCAGCCAGCAACGCCACCTCGCGATCCATAAGGCTGGGGGGAGAAAATACAGAGAAAGGGGAGAGATTTAGTGGCAAACAAAGAGGACAAGGAAATCTTACTGCAAGAAGAAGGTCGGGAGGGTTTGCAGGCGCACCGGCCAGCGGGGAGAGACCGGCAGATGGCGGCAGGAGCCCGTCATGCCGCGCTGCGCCGCGCCGCCGCCGGCTTTTGTTCTGGGAGCTGAGGAGTTGTGCGCAGGCTGCGCTGGCGTTGGACGGGCTCAAGGCTCGGGTCATCGCGGAGCACGGCGCGGCGTTCCCGACCCGCTGGGTACATGGTCACCTTACCCCGATAAAAGTCGGAGCCACCTTGGCAAGGGGGAGAGGGAACGGTGGCTGTGGTGGAGGCGGTGTGTGTGGGGGGGGAAGCTGCACACCGCTGGACTTTATCGCCGAAGAAAACTAAGGCACAAGGTTTGAAAGAGTCGCTCAAAACACAAAACGAGTGAGCAGCAGGGCAGGACGAGGATCCGCCATGGCCGGAGTGGGACGTCAGGCGTCGGGGCAGCCGTCCCCTCCAAGGCAGCCCCTCAGGTGCCGGGCTGTGAAGCAATGCTTCGCCCTGATGCCCTCATCAGCTTATTTAAGCCTACCAAATCGGCCCACCGAGCCCCAGAAACCCGGATTCCGGCTCTCTGCGCTGCCTCTCGGGAGGCGCACACCCTGCTGATCCCCGCAGGGCTGCGCGCACCGCAGGG